ACCAAAAATTGTTCTCAGGCCTTCCTAAGTGTGCCATGGCACATCTTCACCCCTATAAGTAAGTGCCATTATAAAAGAAACACTGTGAACAATGACTTCAGGAGCCGGCAATATCGCCCCATATAACTAGTTATCTAACTAGTATTAAGATAGTCAGTATATACCTGTCCTTCCTGAGGATCCTGTCTCTGTGTCTTGAGTGTGTGCTGTTTCTCTCCCAAGCATCTTTCTGATCTATAACACGCATGCTTCAATTTAGTTTATTTAATTTTTAAAATGATTTATTTTTACTTATTTGTATATGTCTGAATGTATGTATGTATGCATATGCATGTGAATTGTGAATCTTTAGAAGACACACTGGAGTGCTGGATACCTTGGAGCTGGAGTTACAGGCAGTTGGGAGACACCTGATATGGATGCTGGGACCTAAATTCTGGTCTTCTGCAAGAGCAGTAAGCACGCCTAACTGCTGAGTCACCTCTCCAGCCCCTTGAATATATTTTAAAATCCTTTCTCACTAAACTCTGACTTTGCTTCATATTGTATGTTCTGTGGCATAGTCAAAGATCCTGGCTTCACCTGAGTGGAAGTTTCTCCTGAGAAGCTCCGGGACTCCTGCCCTGCTTCCTCCACTGAGGCCCCATAGCTCTGCTCTTCTATGACGGTCATGTGACAAGGTCAGCTGCACTTTGTAGGGCTACCACTCTTAGTTGTTGGTACTTAAGGAGAGAAGGGCCCCAGAAAGTGATGGGCCTGGAACCAGTCCAGATGCAGACATCTGGGCCAGTTGTATTGGGTAGACGTTACCTGGACTAAGATAGCTTCACTCTGGGGGGCCCAGGACTGACTTCCCTCAGGAACCCAAATGCAGGCAGGGATGGACACTTAGTGAGTTTGGACTATGTAAGGTCAAGTTATAACAGTGACACCATGTGGTAATCAGGAAGCAAGGCAGTTGGACAAGCTCCTCTCTAGGTGAGCAACCTACCCCTGGAGGCTACGTAAGCCCCTGGATCTACTACAGTTCCAAGAGCGGGGTGGGTCTTTTTTTCATATTTTTTTTGTTAAAAGAAGTACTTTTCAGTTTACATACCAACCCCAGTTCTCCCTCCCTCCCCTTCTCTCACCCCCATTCCTGTTTTCCATCCCCCATCCACTCCTCAGAGGGGGTAAGGCCTTCCTTGGGGAGTCATCAAAGTCTGGGATTCCAACCTGAGACAGGGCCAAGCCCCTCCCCCAGTATCGAGGCTGAGCAAGGTATTCCACCATAGGGAATGAGCTCCAAAATGCCAGTTCATGCACTTGGAGGTGTCAGTGCCAAGGCTGAGAGGGGTGGTTCTTAAGGCAAATCAGTGAACTTTCTACTGTTAATGAAGATCAGGCAGTGTTCCAAGTCTGTGTCCTTATCTGCGGTGTGGCGATAATGTCTGAGCTGAGAGCTCTTTGGTGATATTAATTTGTGTCTCTTTCTTTCTACATTCTTCATATTTGCTGAGGATATGGGGAATATGGAGAATATTTGCTGGCTCTAGGTACCCCCAAATCAAAGGGTGCTCAAGTTCCCGTACTCAAATCCACAGTATATTCTCCCAAATACTTTAAATCATCTTGATTCTTTTAAAAATCTGTCTGGCTGTTGTTTTTGGACAATGTCTGGCTGTATGCTCTGTTGTAGCCTACACTGGCCTCTAACTCATGGTGATCCTTCTGCCTCGGCTCCAAGTGCTGGGTTCAGAGTGAGTTCCACTCCACTATAACTTACTAGATTACTTATATCTAACAATAAACATAGATATCCCACTATATTTTGGGGGAAAAAATTTTTAAATCCGTGTATGTTCATTACGAGCGCATTTCCCCTGTCCGCAGGGCACTGTATTCATAGATGCAGGGGCTAAAGGATAAGGAGGGCAACTGTTTTCCTCCCACCCCCCAGCTGCTGCAGACCTTCCTGCATTTCTCCTCTCTGGAGCTTTGGCAAGGAGAAAACACAGTCTGACGCTCATGGCTTTTCCTAGCTTCTGTAAAAACCCTGTATCCTTTCAGGGTGGATGCTGGTTGTTCAGTTAGGGCCATCAAAGAAGGCAAATGGATTTAAAGATGAGAGAGCAAAGTTCTGGATAGGGTGGGGATGGAGGTGAGGTAGGGTGGGGTGGTGTAGGTAGGCAGGCATGGGGGGGGGGTAATGGTGAGAATCCTTCCCCTGGCTTTCTGACCTTGTTCTGAGGCTCAGAGGTGATTTGTGGGATATTTGTACACTGTGTGAAGATGTTTTGCTGTTATTGGTATAATAGAGAACTGAATGGCCAATAGCAAGGCAGGAGAGGATAGGCAGGATTTCCAGGAAGAGAGAGAGAAGAGGAGGAGGAATCTAGGCACACAGATATTACCGGAGCAAGTTGGACACACCGTCTTGAGGAGAGGTAGCTGAGCCATGTGGCAGAATGTAGATTAAAAATACAGGTTAATTAAGTTAGAAGAGCTAGTTGGAAACAAGTCTAACCTAAAGGTCAAGATTTAATAATTAATAGTAAGTCTCTGTGTCATTATCTGGGGGCTGGCAATTCAAAGACAGTCTTACAAGAAAGTTTACTGCAAAGGTGGATGAACATGGAGGATGCAGCCCCAAGAGAATGGTCATGTGGCAAAGGTTACAGGGAGACAGTATAGTCATGGGGTCGGTGGATTGTGTGGCTGGACCAATAGGTGTTTTAGCGGTGGTATGGGGGAGTAGAAGTCATGTGACAACCTCAATACACCAGACTTTAGAAAAGGGATATCAGTCTAGGGTGTGGTGGTACAAACCCTTAATCCAGCACTTGAGATGCAGAGGCAGTTAAATCTCTGTACACTCAAGGCCAGCCTGGGCTAGAACGACCAGATCTCTGTAGAGAGAGGGTGTATCTCAACAAACAAACAAACAAATAAATAAATAAAAAGGAGTGCCCCAAGAACAGCAGTTGTGGGAATTCCTGCCAGCCTGGCAGAATTAAGGATTCAAAAGCAAAGCTGAAATTGGTACAAAGAGAGCAAAATTTCATTTTGTAGCCATAGCTCATTTGGTGTGCTGCCTGGCACCCGTGTACAAGTGCGTATCACACTGCCATCCTTCTGAGCGATGCCAAGGCTGCTGTGACCCACACAGAGCCTAACCCTTTCTTGCCTCCTATAAACATCCTGAGTGCATGAAGAATACAGGGCCAGGGTGGCTTTGGGATGAGTTCGGCTCTGCGTGGGGACAAGCATTCATTTAGCGAGGTCTGTCCTGTTTTCAGTTGTGACTAGGATGTTTTCTGTTCCTAGACACCCACCGCCTTTTTCATACCCAGGTCACATGCCCACGAGAGACAGTTCCTCAAGGGAAAAATAATAGTTGACTAACACCGAGGAGCAAGCGACAGAAGAGCCTTGAGTTACTTGGAAATCCATCTGTGATGCAAATTGGTAACCTGTCCCCTAGTCTCCTTAGGGACCCCAGGACTCCCTGAGGATGAGACAAGAAGACCTGGGCCTTGAGTCTCAGCCAGCAGTGGGTTCCCAGGTGTAGGATGCCACAAAAAAAAAAAAAAAATTCTATTAGTATCGTGTCATTGGAGTCAACCTAGAAGTCTGGATAGCTCCAACTACTAAAAGCCTTGCCCTGTTACTTGAATAAAAAGTTTGTGAACATGGAAGAGCTGATAGAGAGCTGGGGGGACAGAGAGGCCCCCATGCTGAGACAACAAAGATCAGAGGTGCCGTGCCAAGTGTCACTCCTGTGCCCGGCCTAGCAGTGTACACCTTTGATCTCAGTTCCCCAGAAGCAGAGGTGGGTGGATTCTGAGTTTAAGGGCCATCTGGTCTCCATAGAGAGTTCTAGGCCAGTCAAGGCTACGTAGGGAGACCCAGGTATCAAAAAAAAAAAAATCACTCCTGTGACCCAACAAAATACCATGCCCCATCCGACTGTTCCCCTAAAGAAGCAAATGTTCATGCCAAGAAGAAGCGAGAATTTCCTCTGGGCACCACTACCCAAGCTACCCAGAAAACATCCACTTTCTCAGCACGGCAATTCCTGCTACCAGGGGCCACTTTCATATATCCAAAGTGAAACATTGCCACTTTTTACATGGAGGCTTAAAAATGCCTATGACGAAACATGCCATGACCTAGTTTCACTGTCTGTGACAGGGGCTGATCACTTGATTTCGAAGTCTTGGTCCTAGGAACTCCTGTTTTTTCCATCAAAGCCTGAAATTACAGGCTCTGGGAGCTGTCCGAGAGAGTTACACCAACCAGATCCAAGGCCTGTTCATGACTTGAACCCACAAGTGGTCCCTAATGGACTTCACTGCGCTTGGCCCGCGTCCCTGCTGGGGACCAAGTATTCACATCCACTGGCTTTCAGCTTGTGAATACCTCTAGAACTGAGGGTGCAGAACACTAGGTAGAAAAAGGTTTCATAGGGAGCCATGAAAACCAGGCTTGGCCATGGTCACAATGAGGGGCCCCTGACCAACGGGCTACACTTGAATTGACCACATGCCATGGCCACAATGTGGCCGTGTTGGCTTCTGGAATCTATCCACCAGCCTCCCTGGGTGGCCTGAAGAAAGGCTTTCTGGAGCTCGTGTCTGTGGCCGAGTGCCACACCTCTCTCTATGGCCTCCACCCTGGATTACAGACTGCACATAACCACATATTAAGCCCTTTGGAAGCCTCACTCTTTCTCATTTTCAGTTCTGATCGTGAAGCTAAACTACTTGAAATATTGCTGGAATAAAAATGTCTGGTTACTAACTTCATCTTTGGGCAGAAAAACTATGAATTTTCCAATCCCTGCAGGCTTAAGTCAAAGGCAGAGTGTTCCATGAATCATTGGTCTGAAAGCGCACCCCTTAGACTTATCACGTGTCTGAATTTCCCAGCACAGATGCATTAAAGCAAGGGCTGGAACAAGCAGTGAGCAGCTCATGCTGCAGGCTGCATCTCCCCATGCTCCAGAGCCAGCTCCCTACCTGCGAGCCCTGGTTCCAGGCGAGTCCCCTTGCTTCTTCTGTAGAGGCTGACTGTTCCCAGGTGGTTGCAATGATCTTGGACTCTGAACTGGTGACGTCCTCTGAACCAGAAGGAAAGGATATTAGAAATGAAGTCAGGAATCGGCAAAACCACAGCAATACTTTTCAATGAGCCACAAACCCAAGACACGCACGGTGATAGCCTGTGGTCCACAGGAGCGCTGCCATCAGCCAGGCAAGTGAGCACGGCTGAGAGGGTGTAGGGGACATGTGGAAAGCTGAGATGAGGTGGTGTAGCTGTCTTCAGACACACAGTTCCAGTCAAGCAGGATAACTGCTTCAGTATGACACCAAGAGAGGGGGCTGGAGAGATGGCTCAGTGGTGAAGAGCATTGGCTGCTCTTCCAGTTATCCAGGTTCAATTCCCAGCACCCACGGGGCAGCTCACAACCATCTGCAACTCCACTATCCTCTTTTGGCCTTGTGGGCACTAGGCATGCACATGATGTATGTACATACATGTAGACATAAAAGAAAGGAAGAAATGAAAGCAAGCCAAGACTGGTGATAGCTATCAAACTCTGGAGGGTTCCTGAAGAAAGAAGGTGTACTTTCTTTATTTTTCTTTCTTTCTTCTTCTTTTTTTTATTTTTGGCAGATTTTCTCTGTGTAGACCTGGCTATCCTGGAACTTGCTCTGTAGACTGGGTTGGCCTCGAACTCAGAGATCTGCCTGCCTCTGCATTCCCCAGTACTGGGACTCAAGGTGTGTGCCACCACTGCCTTGTTAATTTATTTTTATCTATTTCTCTCTCTCTCCCTCTCTCTCTCTCCCTCCCCCCCCCTCTCTTTGTGCCAGGGGGCCCAGGATCGTGTGTATGCTAGGCAAATGCTCTACCTCTAGTGCCATATCTCCAGTCCCAATCACTATTGGTTTTTATCTTTTTATTTTTATTTATTTATTTTTTGCATGTTTTTATTTGCTTTTTCAAGACAGGGTTTCTCTGTAGCTTTGGGGCCTGTCCTGGAACTAGCTCTGTAGACCAGGCTGGCTTTGAACTCACAGAGATCCACCTGCCTCTGCCTCCCAGGTGCTGGGATTAAAAGCGTGCACCACCACCGCCCGGTTTCACTATTGATTTTTAGAACCAAACCATACAAGTATCGGGTTAAGAATTCAAGTCACAGAACAGAACAATGAAATGTTTTTCCCAACACTTGATTTAAGTGATACTTGCTGAGACATAATTCAGAAATCAGGAGAGGGCAAGAGGCTCCTGTAAACCCCAAGTCATAGTTCCAAAGGCAGCCATTGTGTTTTGTCTTCCCAGGAATGGCCTTGCACCCCCATCTCCCCACTAAACAGCACACCCTTTAGGGAATGATCTGCCTCTGTTTAAATGTTTCACCTATGCCCTCTGACCCTCAGGGTCTCTTAGAAAATGTAAAGCATGAGGCCCCTTGCCTACCCACTAGAGTGTGAACAGGCATAGGTATGGCCTGGTCCTTCCACAGGACTCCTTGAAGGAACAGAAATGTTCAGATCTGGTGACAGATGGATTTCTGAGCACCTTGAGCTTAGTCATGGTGGAGAAGGCATCCTACAGGCAAGGGAGAGAAGATCATGTAGAACAAGATGAGGGTAACGCCAAGGAGAGTGCTCTGGTGTAGCTGGACCCAGGGATCCATGCTTACAGGCCCACCTAACTAGAGGTGATTGGAAAAGGTGTTGAATGCAATGTTTTACCTTTCAGATACAAGTTGGACATTTTCCACACATCTATTACTTGGTCATCTTGGAAGGAAGGAAGCAATACTTTCTGTGGACAAGTGAATCTGAGGTGCTACATTTCATAGCCCTCTTTCAGAAATCCACAGAGCATGTTAACATCTTAAAGGTCTGGAGGGGGGGTCCTACATGAAATAACTCACTGGACTTTACTTTTTTTTTTTGAGGCAGTCTTCTTTTGTAAGCCAGGTAGGCCCGAAATTTGTGATTTTCTGTCTCTGTCTCCTCAATGCTAGGATTACAGGCATGTACCACCACGACCAGATTGATTCATTGAGTTTTTGACTCAGAGCACCCGAAACTTCCTGACTACCCTGTGTTTGTGACCCCTAAAAAAACAAAACAAGAAACAACTTTTAGGCAGGGGATTTCCCCCCAGCCCCCCTAAAAAAACAAAACAAGTAACAACCTCTAGGCATGGGATTTTGAAAGTTAATTTTGGAGTTTCTGAAGGACAGAACATGAACTTCCTAACCTCTCTGAACCTGGGACTCTTTTTGAATTCCCAAATCTCCTGTTACATGGCCATTGCCTTTCCCCGACTTTGCCTGCTTCCTTATCTGGGTTTATTCGATTGTGTCCAAAGATAAACCATAAAGAATACATCATTAGCCAAGAGCCTGGATGGTCTGGGGTGAACGTGAACACTACAATGTGAAATCTCCGTTCACTTTAGCTGACGGATGGTAAGATGAGGAAGGAATGCCTGCCTATAACCCTAGCCCTCGAGAGACTGAGACAGGGGAATGGTGAGCTTGAAGCTACAGAGCAAGGTCCTTTTTCAAAAGCAAACAATTACAAGCAAGAGGAGCAACAATGGCTCCTGTTCATGAACCACTCACTAAGAGAAGCACTGGCCTATGAACTCTCAGCAAATCATCACTGTTTATGGAAAGATGATGCCTACATCCTTGCTTTAGAGTCAGGGCTTTCAGAGGTTCAGTAACGTGGACCACAGAGCAGGGGCCTGTTTCTAGACTATGTGATTTTTTTTGCACACTTTGTGAAGGTGTAATGCTGTGAGTGATTTAATAAAAAGCTAAACAGCAATGGTTATGCAGGAGAGAAAAGGAGGAACTTCTGGGGACAGAGAGGCACATAGGAGATGCCAGTGAGGCATGGAACAAGTCAGATGTACAGGACAGAAGAGAGCTAACAATGTGGCAGAATGTAGATTATTATCTCCTTGTCGTTGTTGGGGAGATGGCAGCCCAAAGAAAGTCCAACTACAGGGGCCCAAGCGGACCTGCTTCTCCCTGATCCTAGAGCTGGGACAGGACATTTCTTTTCCTGGCCACCTCAACAAGGGAGTGAAGAAGGAAGCAGAGAAAGCTGCAACCTGGTTCCCACCTTAGGGGAGATTCCTGCCGCAGTGCTGGGAGTTGACAGAGTCCCCTACCTTGCTTGTAGGGCTCAGCCTCCCAATTCAGCACCTAGGGAACACCCATCCCCAGGGCATTAGCAAGACAGTGCACCCTTGGATCGCTCCAGTTTCAAACTCTGTACTCTTGGAAGATGATGGAAGGCTCCTCGTCCATTAGATATCTCTATGCTTTCATGAGTGGTTTTCTACAGTAACTCAAGGATCACAGTTCAAAAGGAGTGACATTTTTATACCAGGGTCTTGAATTTATGAAGATTTATTTTTATTACTTTTAACTGTGTGTGTATGGAGGGATCGGATTCCTCTGGAGTTGGAGTTACAGGCAGCTGTGAGTCACCCAATATGGTTTCTGGAGACTGAACTCAGGCCCTCTAGAAGAGCACTCTTAACTGCTGAGCCATCTATCCGGCCCCAAGGTCTTCACTTTTTAAAATCACTGCATAGCTTTTGCTGGTCTGCTGCGCAAGTGTCCATCTCTAACACCCGCAGCCGGCTCCCTGCTCATTACTATGGTATCCGTGCTGAATACTCTGCAAGTAATCGTCAGGTAAATCCCCTACCCCAGCGTCCTTGATCAAGGAACTCTGGAAAGACATCAGTTCATCTAGCAACTCGGGCAGATACAACGGACAGAAGGAAAAGGAGGCCGATCACAGATCACTGTTCTAGCTAAAGGCAAAGCAGGTGGAACAAGGGCTCGGTCTCTGGAGGAATCAAAGCGTCAGGCCCATCTCATCAGCCCAGCTCTTCCCCTGGCACAGCCAGGCTCTCAGAGCAGAAACCGGTCTGGTCAGGATTCAAAGAAAAGCCGCAGGACAGAGGCATAACTCATGGATGGCGCACAGGCTGGCGTGGGTTTAACTCTCCCCTTTATCAAAACAGCAGTAATCGATGTCATGGTCCTTGTTTGTTGTCGTCATCATAAAATATAAGCGACGAAGCAATTCACATACATGGTCTACAAGCTTTTCAAAGATAACACCCTGTGACTCTTCGGGATCCCTATTTACTAAACAGTAAAAAATGTTTTCTGTTTTCTAGATAAGAAATGGAGAACTAAGGGGCGTATCCAGGTCTTCTGACTGGAAGTCTGCTTTTTCCCCAACAGTATTAACAACTGCCACTTAGAGAACACCCTGCTATGGTGGAAAAAAGCAAATGCATTATTAGATATGTCCTCTTAGCTATTCTACATATTTAAAATCATGTAATCCTGATAAATAAGCACACAGATAAACCAAGAGGTTAAGGGACTTGCCAAGGATCACAAAGATCACCAGGGAAGTGGTGGGTTTGGACCTGGCTGGTCTGTGCTCTTTTTTATTTTAGAGACAGGGTCTCTCTGTAGCCCTGACTGGCCTGGAATGCACAGAGATCCATCTACCTCTGCCCCAAGTGCTGGAATTAAAGGCCTGTACTGCCACGCTCAACTCAGTTTTACCACGCAGTGGGAACAGCTGCTTTACGATCTCTGCCATGTTGCCATGCTTCATCATGCTCCAGAACAACTGGACCATCACGACTGATACAGCCCAAGACCTAGATCTGATGCCTAGAGTCACACCTGTCATGGGAGAGGCAGTTTAGATTGCTTGCTAAATATATGGAGCACATCTTATAGCTATTCAGTCTGGTAGCTACTTCCACAAGATGCCTTTGTTGCATTTCCGACAGTGCCTTTGAATCCCCCTTTCCAGTTTCCCTTTCTTAGCAATGGTCCTAAGATGACCTGTGTGCGGGATTCCTGCTGTGTCAACAGATAACACTATAAAACCCCATGTCCTTCTAACGTTACCCTCCCTCCGCTTCCAAACTGCAGGCTGGGAAGGTCGGAAGCAGCACTCACGTGACAAGCCAGCTGCCCCGTTGCTTCTTCACATCCCCTCCGAACTGTCACTGCTTGAGTAAAGAAACAGCCCTCAGAGCCCTCCGTATATCTTAAAGCAATCTTTAGACAATGACAGCAACTTTCCAGTCCTAAAAACATCCTCCATCAAGAGTAAAGCAGTTACCATTAAACATTTTTTTTCACCGCTCTTACCTTTTAAATGTGCTCCATCTCTCTAGACCATGCCAATAAAATTAATGAAAGCACGCTTAATCAACAAGGCTAGATCATCCCAGAGTGCCTACCTACACCGTCGGCTCCTTGGATGAGCATCTAGGAAGCAGGATAAGGGCAGGTGAATGCTGGGAAGTAGATCATAGGTCATCCCCATGGTACTAAGTGTCAGATTTCAGGAATAAATGCCAGGCTGGCCAAATACGGGAGGTGAGCACATGTCCATGCTCTAGCCAGAAGACTGCCCGTCTGCTTGTCAAAGGCAGCTGTGCACACCAGTTCTGATCAACTGAGTCCTTCCCCCGAAGGGGAACACGGGAAAGAAGACGCCTCAACACAGGCTGAGAGGACACCCTAAAGTCAGGCAGGAGACACTTGAGTGTTAGGTTGACAAGGGAGAAGCCTCAGGGTGGGGTCTCAGCCCATTAGATGCTAGTCTCTAGTGTAGATCAGCATGATGGCCCAGGAGGGATTCACAAGCGATTCTGGGGACAGCGAACAGGTCTGAGTCCATGCTCTTCCTTGAATTGATAGTGAGTATAAATTTAGAGTGCCTGCATACACATGTGTGCGTGCATGTGCCTGTATGTGTGTATGTATGTCTGCATGTATGTGCATGTGTATATGTGTGTGTGCACATGTGCTTGTGTATGTATGGATGTGTATGTATGTGCATGCCTGTATATGTGTGCATGTGTGCATGTGTATGTGTGCGTGTGTGTCGGGCAGCAAGAGCCCCAGTTCTCAGTAGATATAAATGAAAGGAATCGGGTATGGTGGTCGCTGCTATAGAAGCTGGTAGAGTTGCCACACGAGAGACTGCATTATCTGAAACTTCTCAATAAGTCTGAAGTACTCTAAAAATTTAATTCAAAAAAGACACAAGGCTGGGTGTGGTGGAATGCACCTTTAATCTTAGGACTTATAAGACAGAGACAAACAGATCTCTGTGGATTCAAAGACAGCTTGGTGTACCAAGTGAGTTCCAGGCCAGCCAAACTAATTTGTGAGACCCTGTCTCAAGATAGATAAATAAATAAGTAGACACAAGATTTGACCTATAAACATTCCATGTGGAGCAGGAGAGGGACTGCTGGAGCCCAGTGCCTTCCTGAGAATCTCTGGGCAGCTAGTGGTTGAGGAGGAAGGGAGAAACATTTTCTTGAGTACTGAAAGGTGTAAGGGTAGGGTACTCAGCGCCTGCAAACTGTACCTCATCTATGCTTCTGTAAGTAACTCTAAACCCAGAGGCTCACCAAAAGAAAATAGTCATGGAAACGGGAGGGGACTAGTTGGGGAGAGAAAGGGAATCAGTAGGAGTAGGAGGGGGAAAAAAAAGGGTAATGAAGGGTAAATGTAAAAATTATATATATATATATATATATATATATATATATATATATATATGAAAATAAAACCAAAGCTATTATTATATGCAATTAATAAATATTAATAAAAATTTTTAAAGACATATTTCATTTTATAAATGGATTTATTTTCAACTTTTATTTATGTATATGTGTGTCTATCTGTATGTTACACACATGTAGGTACATGAGGAGACCAGTAGAGGGGGTTGGGTCCCCTGAAGCTAGAGGTACAGGCCATTGGTGAGTTGCCTGATGTGGATGCTGGGAGCTGAGATCCCCTGCAAGAGCAGGATGTGCTCCTGACCACGGAGCCACCTCTCCAATCCCAGTGAAAACCTTCAGGTGCCCCTTCCATCTGACTTGTCAACAATTACAATACGGAATAGTTACCTACGGCCAACAGAGCTTCTCACAAAGGTTCCGGCTCGCTGGAACCTGGCTCACTAACCACCCTAGTCTTCCCTGCCCCCTCCCCCAGCCTCTTCAGTCTCTGGTAACCCCCAGTGGACTCTTGATTTCTGTGATATCAACCTTGGCTGAGCCCATGTGAGTAATATCACAAGGCATTGTCCTTGTGTGCCTGGCTCACTATTATCCAAAAGCTGTCCAGTTCTCTTCACTCATTTACTGGCTGATTTATTTGTTTATTCACTTGCCTGGTTTGCAGGTGCGTCCCAAGAGGCAAGGATTCACCTGCCTCTCCTTTGATTTGGATGGGGGTGGGGATGGTCTCCACAAATGGCCATGGAATAGGAGTCTGTGCCTAGGTGTTGGGTTCTGCGATGAATCATTGCGAAGTGTCCTAAGTCAGAAGACCACACTGCTCCTAGCCTGGCAGAGGTACCCTTAGGAGCCTAGACCTGGGGCCCCAGGACAGCCTGTTGTCCTGAATCTGTCACAGATTTATGGAAGTGGGCAAATGCCTTGATCTTCTGATCAAACACGTAAAACTGAAAAACAATCGAGACGGAAATGTGAAGGGGTGGCTTTCTTTCAGCCTTGAGTCTGAGCCTGAGAGACGTGCCATACTAGACAAGCTGCGCTGGCTGGTGACCTGGATTCTCCACAGCAACTTCCTCTTTGACCTTGGGCCAGTCCTCAAGGATAAAAGAACTCCGTTTGGAAACCAACTGGCCCTGGCTCTTTTTTTTTTTTTTTCAACTTGCTGGAGGCCAGGCTTGTAATTCTCACTCCTCCACTCATTCAAATGGCCTAGCTGATTAACAGTCAAGTCCCCCGTTTTCTGCAAGATGTGAGCAATCCACACAGGCTGCTCACTCACGGGACTGTGAGGAAGCCAAAGGACACAGCTCGTGCAAACAGACTTCACCATGGGCGAGCTGTGACACCACGCGACTTCAGGTTGTGTGAGACAAACGCCTGGAGCATGCCTGCCTGGAAGCCGCCTTCAGGGTGGAGTGGCTTTTAAAAGCAAATTAGACACACCTGTGCAGGCAGGATCAGGATTGTAGAACAGGCCTCCCCTAGCCACACCCAGAGGCACACCCCTCACAACCCCTCCAGAAAGCTCCCCTTTCTTTCAGCTGCAAACACCCCGAGCTGAGGCTGGGAGCTCAGCTGACTGCATTGCCATGCGATGACACCCACAGCTGACGCTGAACTGACTCTTTATAATGACACATCATTCTGCCCACTGGCATGGAAGGTAGGGCCGCCATGCCATTCCCCAGCCTCCGTTGAGGACAAAAGACATCAAAGCCAAAGCCTTCAGAAGGATTAGCGCTGGCTCCCAGAGTCTGCATTCTCTCTTGCTGACAACACAGACCTCATTCAGCAGTTCACAGCCCATCGCAAGCCAGTTCTCAAAGAGCCACATTCAACATGTTAGTTCTAAAATTCTAAGGCCATGTTGCTGATTACTAGGTGGTTTGCAGCTTAATAGGGATGGATAGGACTAGGTATTAGAGAGGGAGGGACGAGCTAAATATTTCTATGCCCATGCTATGCCCATTGTCAGTAGCCACCTAGATGACAGACAACTGAGAGGCCAGTCATGCAAAGTGCACACATCTGTACCTGTGGAGGGGCAGGGTTTGGAGGCCCCAGGACGGTGTTGTGGGAGCCAGTGTCCTCCTGTTGGAAGCAAAGGGTCTTCCTGTTAGGACACAGGGTGAGAAAGAAGCGTCTTCCAGGACCTTCAATTTCAACACCTGCCCACTTGCCTAGCCTGTGGTTGCTGTAGCCCAGGGTGGCATCACCTACTGTGGCCTGGGCCCTCCCTCGTCAGTAATAATAATAATAAAATGCCCCACAGGCTTGCTCACAGGCCAGTCTGGTGGGGGCGTTTTTTCAATTGAGGTTCCCTCTTTCAAAATGACTTCAGCTTGTCTCAAATTGATGTAAAACTAGCCAGCACAGATACCCAAGGGAAGTCAGACACCAGAGGGAGGGGAATCTATAGGATGAATATGTGGGAGACAGCCAGGGCCAGGACTCAGCAGACTTTCCCCTCATCCTTTGAGCTGGTGACAAAGGTGATCCTTAATCTAGGGAGAGGAGGATCACCAAAACTCACGTCCTTTCTTCTAAGGACCCAGTTTTAGGCAGACTATAGAGGGACCTCTGCCAAGGGTATCTTCATAGATGAAGAATCTAAGAAATGGGCACTTGGGCAGGGCAGGAGAGTGTGGGAGGCAGAGAAACCAGTTAGAGGCATTACCAACGCTGCAGGTGTGAACAAAAGGGACATGGACTTGTCGAGGGAGAAAGTGGTTGGACAAGGAGATAGGTTGGCTCTATCTTCCCTTCTCCTTTACGAAATGGCTCCAAGCAATGCTGACAGGCTGTCACTGTGCCCTGCAGGGTGGATATAAGACTTGGGGTGGACCACTTCACAAGTAGACCCAGTATCTGACCCCAGAGTGGGAATACGACACACTCAGAATGGGTCTGATTCTTTACAGTGGGCAGGTCAGGCTGGACCACTAGCTAGGTAAACATGGCCACTTATCTGCTGGCAGCACTTCTTTTCGCCCCACTAGATATCTCCTGAACATTTAGAAAGAGGGAAATAGAGCAAGATCCAAAGGAGAAAACTTCTACATTATCTGCTGGAGCCCTGGACTCAGCCAACACTGTAAGTAGAGCTGTGGCCATCTCCGTTCTGTAAGCCAGTCCCCCCTTCTCTGCTTGTGATCATTTGTAGACATGGGGTACCTGTCTCTTAGAATCCTCTAAAGGCCTAAACAGAAATTCACAAGGCTAAATGGCCAGACCACCCATTAACTCACTGACCAATCATAGGATGTTGTATTAGGCGTGTAAAGAGACAGCGGGTAGAGTCAGGGTGACCTTCAGATTTTGGTTTTTAGAGGGCAGGAGAGTTAGTGCTACCCAGAAAGAGAAATGCAGGATGAGAAGCAGAATGATGAGAGACATTGAGTAGGGGTTGAGGAACTCAGGAGGGTGTGGTTGTACCAGTAGAGGTCTCTAGAAGATGTAAAAAGATAAACCGGGGGCCTCATCTCCATGAGGAACCCCAACCTGCAGCCAAACACTCCCACACTTTATCCCTCTGCTTCTCTGTGGAAGGCAAACCTCATCCTGCTCCTGGAATCCTAAGACAACTCTACAAAGGCCCACTGGCTTGTGCCTGGTTTGACTAGAGATGTGGAAACTCCCAGAGCCATGAAGGATTCCCTGTCTACTCTCAGAAGGCAGAGCTAAAGGGTAGAGGATAGGAATGGAGCTGGTAGGAGGTGGGAACTGAGGGAAAGAGTGGGAGGAAGGGATTTCACTTCTAGAACATCTTTACTTTAAACTAGCAAAGGCTTAGAGCATTAAAATAGACGTTGCTGGTGAGAATACTGTAAGAGGACCGAAGAGCAAGGTAGCATCCTTTTGGAAAGCATTTTGTAACATATATAGCAAGAGTCTTGCAAAAGTCCTTGCTCTAGGACCCAGAAGTTCCATCTCTACGGAATCTGTGCTTGGTAAATAATAAATACCTCATTCTGGACAGCATGATTTGTGAGAATAATGGGGAGAAAATATAAGTCATCCTAAACTGTTGGCATTCAGATTTAAGTTCATCTTACCTTAATTGAGTAAGGCAGGTGTGGTAGTTTGAATGAGAAAGACCTCCATAGGTAGATGTCTGAATATGTGGTCTGTGGTTTGTGGTACTATTTGGGAAGGATTAGGAGGTGTGACTTGTGGGAGAAGGTGTGCCATTGGAGGTGGGCTTTTAAGGTTTCAAACGTACCATTCTCTCTCTCTCTCTCTCTCTCTCTCTCTCTCTCTCTCTTTCTCTCACTCTCTCTCTCTCTGTGTGGGGGGTAGGTGTGTGGAGGGGGGGTGTGGGTGTGTATGTGCCTTGTGGTTGTGTCTCAAGATGTGAGCTCTCAGCTACTGCTCCCAGTGTTGTATCTGCCTACCTGATGCCACGATCCCCACCATGATGGCCATGGACTCCAATTCTTTGAAACCATAAGTCTCAAAGAAATCCTTTCTTCTACAGGCTGCCTTGGCCATGGCGTTTTGTCACAGCAGGTTTGCTCATCATCCCTAGGGATGTGTTACAGTAGCTAAAGCAAATATTCCTCTAGTCTAGGGGCGCTCCTCAAGGTTGATGGCTCGTGTTAGGTAATTCTTTTGGAGACTGTAGAATATTTGGCGGAGTTATGACTTCTTCCAACTACAGACTGATAACACCCTTTGTCACTGTGGTGACAACCAAGACTATTGCTGGATATTGCTGCATGACCCTTTCCCATGGAAGATAGCATGGCCCCTGGGTAAGAACTACTGTTCCATCCTGTTTATAGCCAGCAGCCTGTGAGGAGCTTGGAGCTTATACAGATCTGCAAACCTCAGGGAAGGGAAGCTAGCTGGTGTATGAGGAGGAAGAGGGGTCAAAGAATGTGTAGTGCCCCTCAAGGGCTCTCAGCTGATGGCCATGCCCGCCTCCACTCAAGCTCATGATGGAATGTTCCCGTAAGGGACAAGTTCAAGAATGCTGACCAGCCAACAGCACCTTTATTGACTCACAGGGTATTTTAAAATAATTGAAGTTAGCTGTTAACATGTTTTTATGGTTTTGCAGGTGTTTTTTGTTTGTTTGTATGTTTTGCTTTCGAGACAGAGTCTTCTGCTTCATAGCCCAGGCTGGCCTTGAACTCTGAGAAGATCCACATGCCTCTGCTTCCCATTAAAGTTGTGTGCCACCATGCCCAGTTGTGAGCATGTTTTTAAATGTAAGCCTTCTTTCTACGATCTTTGAGAATCACAGGTGTAACCAGTTCCCGACACATTTTGTGGGATTAATAATAAACCAGACCCCCAGAGTATCTCCCGTATAAACTTGGACACAAAAGTCCAAACAATATATTAACAACAAAACAAAACAAAAAACAAAACCACTGTAACATAGTATCAAAATATTTATATGCAATGGCCACATGATATTTATTTCAGTTATGCAAGAAGGAAATAATCTAATTACATCAATCGATGCAGAGAAATCCCTAACAAAATTCAACTGAATGATTTTAAAGCATACTAAATAAACTAGATGCCTCAACTTGATAAACCATGTTTGTTTAAAAAACAAACCTAACCAGGCAGTGGTGACTCATGTCTTTAATCCCAGAACTCGGGAAGCAGAGGCAGGCAGATCACTGTGAGTTTGAGGCCAGCCAAGCAAGAGCAAGTTCCAGGACAGCCAAGGTTTCACAGAGAAATCCTGTCTTGCTTAACCAAAACCATACAAACCAACAAAACAAACCTTATAGCGATCAGCTTCCTTAAGATTAGAAAACTCAACGATCTCCCCTTGAGATTAGGAATAAGGGCAAAATATTCATTCTTTCTACCCTTAGTTAACAAAGCAATGGGCATCCCTGTCACTGTAAAATAAGAAAAAGAAGAGAAAGAATAAAGAAGAAGAAATTAAAACTTCTCAGAGGTTGTGGAGGGAGTAAAACTGTCTCTATTTACAAATTACATAATTTCATAGTAAATCTCAAAGAAACAACGAAAACAGCAACACCAAAAAATCATTGGAACTAATAACTGAGTTAACCACAGAAAGAACAGCACACAAAACCCAATTCCCTAAATATAAATATGTGGACCCTGAAGTGATCGTCTACTTTTTTTTTTTTTTTTTAAGACAAGGTTTCTCTGTAGCTTTGGAGTCTGTCTTGTCTTGGAATTAGCTCTTGTAGACCAGGCTGGCTTCAAACTCACAGAGATCTGCCAGGTTCTGTCTCTTGAGTGCCACCCAGCTGATTCTCTATTTATAGTCACCCTAAAGAAAAATGTAGTTCTTAGGTAAAAGCTTGACAACACATAGGCAGGATCTGTTTGCTAAGGATTATCAAATGATTTTAAAAAGAAAGAAAGAAAAAAAGAAATGGCCCTGTACATCATCTCAAATGATCAAGGAAATCAATTTTTCTCTACTTTATCTACTCCTTAATGTGATTCTTATCAAAATCCCAGCAACTGTTTTGTAGACATAGGTTTATTCTAGCATTTATATGGAAAACCCACAGATCATGACAAAGACTCACTGTATTCGACCTTAGGATTTAACACACAACTGCCACAATTAAGAGAGCCATCATAGCTTCCGTTCTGTGTGCCTGTTCTAAGTGTATAGAAGTTCACTGAGGTTCTAGACTTTGAATCTGGTTAACGCTGGTGTGGTGTTTTTATTTATTTGCAAGATTTTTCAAAATAAAGTTTATAAATTCTTTTTTAAAAATCTAACTATAAAGAGAATCAGTGTTGTAGAACAGAGGACCTAGGCTAAACCTACACAAATAAACCGAACCGATTTGTGAAAAAGGTGCAAGATCCATTCGATGGGAATAAAAACAGTCTCTTTTCAACAATAAAACTAGGACATGGGCATTCATGGCCAAAACAGTAAATGTCAAAATAACAAACAAACCAACCTTCATCTTTAAGAGAATGATAACAGAAACCAGAAATTGGGAGACGGTATTTGCAAAAAAAAAAAAAAAACATCTAAAAGAGAACTCCTATTCAAAATATATTTAAAACGAACCCTTAACATTCAGCAGTAAGATGCAGACCATGGTGGGGGTGTGTCTTTAGTCCCAACA